AAACAGTTTATAGATAATAAAAGCTGATAATTATATGGTATTTTAAGGTTTACAAAGTACTTCACGGTCTTTGTTTCATCCTCCAACATGTTTTAAGAGCAGAGAGAAGAAAGAGATCAAGGACAGTTTGAGTACATCAGCATGGTACAATGGATGAAGGATAGGCGGGATATATAAAGGCTGAAGGGAGAGAGAAGGGTATTTCAGGAAATGGAACTACATAAAGCACAGATGTAGTGTTACACATGGTCTGTTTATGAGACATTAATCAGGGTGAAAAGTGTAGGTCTGGTATTAGGGAGCAGTTAGAAATAAAGCTGGATACATAGGGTGGGCCAAATTCACTTCTATGGTGCTATGGGTACAGGCAGGCAACTGTACTCTGGCTGATATCCAGGTGATGAATATGAGACTTTGCCTAGTATTCCCCAAATACCCTTTAATTTGTTAAGCCCCACATCTTAAAAAAAAAAGCTGTACAAAACAGATTTACAGTTTCATATACAACCCTTTCTTTTGTTTTGTATAGGAAAACATTCATATTTGTTGATATTTGTCAAGAAAAAAGTACCAAGCACCAGTAGTTATACTGTTTCCTGGTGAGTTGAAAGCTGCTTTTTCCCCCTTGTTATATAAAAAATGCTATCCTAATATCATTTTCATAGCTTCACAGTTTTCATATATAATGAAAACAATCTAGTTACTACTTTGTTATAAGTTAATTATAACTATGCTAATATTTAGGTGATGCTATTTTTGTAAAATTCTTGCAAGTACCAAAACTCAATTAAATAAATATTACTATTCATGGAAAAAACCAAGACATTGAATTTTAACTGACTATACATGTTTAAGCATTGCTATCAAGATTCCATCTTTTAATTTTTCCTCCAACTTTTAAACTAAGCTTTATTTTTTTCATAATATGCCGACTGCACTGACTGATTCACTACATATTAGTGCTGTTAGCTGGGTATCCTTACTAGTGCTTGGCAACACTACTATTAATCTCTTGCTGATGACTTGTCACTTCCCATATCTTTCACTTTTTTTTGAGTCTCTAACTTTATTTCCACCCCAATGATTTATACAAAGTAAGCACTTAAACATTTATTTAATTGGATAACCTCAACAATTAACTTTATTGAGATGACTACAGTCATCCACTGTGAGTTCTTATAACCTTCCTCTTCTCTATCTCAAATTCACAATATACCATTATCCATTCTCTCTCTTTATGTCCCTGTCTCAAAGGGAAAAGTATCTCCTTGCCTTGCTATGGTAATGAGTCCAAATGGTCTCATGATCCCATCCCATTCCTACCTCCTCTGAAACCTTGCTCTATCAACTATCCTCAATCAAGCCCTCTCTAACAGCTTTTAAAAAATTCTTCCTACAAAAATGTGGTAACTATTATCCTTAAAAACAAAACAAAACAAAACAGAACTACTTTTCTTTCCTTTCCAGATACCTTTCAAATCTTTCTCTCTAATAATCTTAATCTGTTTCCTGAGATCCAGATTTGCAGTTCCAATTCTTTACTGGACAAATCCTACTTTTTTCAACCAACACCTCAAATTCAACATAGAAAAAATTGTATAAGATCTACAAATTGGACTAGATGGCTTCTGAGCTTTCCTTTGAGCTTAGATATTCTATGAACTTCTCCTAAAAATGTGCCTCTCCTTCTGGCTTCCCTATTTCTATTAACAGGATCCACCATTATCCCAGTGATCCATGCTATAAAAGCTTGAAGCAACTTTTTTACTCGAAAAAAAAAATTTTTTTTTTAAATAAATTTTTTTGGCTACTTCTATGTCTTAATCATCCATTCATTTTTTAAATCCCTAAAAACTTTGTCTTTATTGCTCTAATGAAACTGATCTCCAGAAGAGATTACTTACCATCTAATTATCAAATCTAATGGCCTACTCTTAGTCTTCATTCTCTTTGATCCTTCTGGAGCTTATGACTTGCTGACTGCTCCTTTCTTCTTGAAACCGCTTTCCTTGGGGCTCCATAACTATATTCTGGCTTGTCTTCAAAGCTTTCTACTGCTCTTTCCAGTTACCAATGATCTCTTCATTGCCAAATCCAATGGCCTTTTCTCAATCCTCATCCTTCTTAACCTCTCTGAAGCCTTTGACACTGTGATAACCCTCTTCTTGATAGTTTCTTCTCTCCAGCTTTTCATGACACTACTCTCTCATGGTTCTCCTCTTACCAATCTAATCAATTTTAAGTCTACTCACTGGATCTTCATCCAGGTCCTACCCATCTGCCATGACAGATCAAGTCTGTCCTAGGCCCTCTTTTCTCCTCCCTCTATACTACTTCACTTGGTGATCACATCACAAATTGAATTATCCTCTCTATGATCATGATTTTCACATCTACTTACCCAGTCCTAACCTCTCTATTGACCTACAGACTCTCATCTCCAAATGTCTTTCAGATATCTTGAACAGGAAGGTCTAGCAGACATATTTAACTCAATATGTCCAAAATTAAACTCATTATATTTCTCCCTAAACCATCCCCCTTCAAAATTTCCCTATTGCTATAGAGGACATCATTATCCAAATCACCTAGACTCATAGCCTAGGTATCAACCTTAAATGCCCCACTATTTTTTTCCCCACCCCTTTCCCCATCCTATCTGTTGCTAAGATCTATTGATTTCACCTTTGCAATAACTCTTTCATATGCCCCTCCTCACTTCTGACACAGCCACCACACTGGTACAGGTCCTCCCAGATTACTGCAATAGCCTACAGTTGAGTCTGCCTGCCCCACGTCTCTCCCCATTCCAATCCATCCTCCATTAAGCCACCAAAGTGATTTTCTTAAAGCATAAACCTGACCATGTCACTACACTCTGCTTCCCCACTTAAAAACCTCCAGTGACACTGGCATCCTTGCTGTTCCATAAACAAGAAATAAGATGCTCTGATCTCTTTGTTCTCATAATTTTCTCTTGCTGTTACCATTCCTGGAATGCTCTCCTTTCTCTCTGCCTTGACTTCTGCAGCTTTGGATGCCAGTTAAAATCTCATCTTCTACATGAAGCCTTTCTTAATACCTCTTAATTTTAAGGACTTCTCTCTGTTGCTTACCTCCTATTAATCCTGTATATAGCTTGTTTGCACATATTTGTTTGTATGTTGTCTCATTAGATTGTGAGCTCCTCAAGGACAGGGATTGTTTTTTGCTTTTCCTTGTATCCCCAGCACTTAGCACAATGTCTGGCACAGAGCAGGTGCTTAATAAAATATTCAAGAATCCGTCCTTAGGCCTCTTCTCTTCTATCTTTCCTCACAGATTCAACAATCATCTTTACACAGAAGCCTTCGAAATCTCTCTATAAAAAGCTCAACCTCTTTCCTGACTCCCAGAGCTGCATCTCTAATTCTCTAGTAGGTATCTTCTCTTGGGTATTACACCAACACTTCAAATTCTGCATGGATAAACCTGCCTAATAATATGGACAAATTGGGATGGGTGTCCTCCCTTTCCAACTCTGAGATCCCGTGAAGTTACCCTGAAGTCTGCTTCTCCATTCCTGCTAACAATACCCACCAGAAGAACTTTGGGGCAATTTCCTTTTTTTTAACTAGTCCTTCACATCAACTCCTGTCACTAGTGTGACTCACATGTATTCCCTTCATGCCACCCCCTGTGCAGGGTCCTCTTTACTGGCCTTCAGTTTAATAGCCTCCTAATTGGTTTTTCATCTTCATTTATTTTCTGTTCCAATCCACCCTCTATGCCACTGCCAGGGTTAATTTCTTATGACACAGCTCTAATCATGTCACTTATCTGCTCAAAACCTTTGAAAGATTCCTGTTTCCCAAAAACGTCTAAACTTTTTTTTAGCAAGATATTCAAAGCATCACTATGCTACGGCTCTAACTCACCTTCCTTGTATTCTATCCCATTAATCTCCTTTTGTGAATCCTCTATACCTGAGTTTTCACTATTTACTATGTCCTACACATGTTCTGTATCTTTCTATACTCATGCTCTATCTTCTGTCTACTACATACATAACATCAAAAAAGCCTCTGTCTGGGGAAATCCTATCAATTAATGCTCATCTCAAAGGTTACCTTCTTCATGAAACTTCTTCTGACCTCCCTGACCAAAGGTATTCTTTCTTCTCCAAGCCCTTATAGCACTTTCTTTGTAATAATGATAATATGAATGAGAGCTCTTATTTATGTAACACTTTAAGATTTATAAAGCACTTTCTAACACCAGCCCTGTGAAATAGGTAGTGCAAGTACTATTATCCCCATAGGGGAACTATTTAATGACTTCCTCACCCATGCTCCTACAATTAGTAAACACCAAAGCCAGTACGTGGCACAGCTGAGACATGAGCCCAGGCCTCCTGAGAAAGTCTAGTTCTCTTTCCACTTTCCTCCTCTGCACATCAGTTATGATGCTTATACTGTCTGGTGTATTAATATTTGTGTATAAATGGTATTGCAGATTCAGAGATGGCCATAAGAGTCTGAAAGGCCTGGGCTCAGGTCCTGCCTCTGATATATACTTGCTGTGTGATCCTGGGCAAGTCACCTGACCATTCAATGTCCTGGGCAACTCTCTAAGACTTGAAGTTGCAAATCAGGTTCTTATCTTCACTGGGTGAGGAGGCGTTCTCACTGGGAGCGCCCTATGCTAATGAAGTCACAAGCTCTTGTTCAAAACAAAATAAAATAATGTCCCCACCAGATGGTTAAGTTCAAAGTGCAAAAACCATGTTGTTCAGATAGATATACTCTGCAGTATCTTACATGGAGTAGCATTTAAACATGTATTGACTGAACAGAATTAAAAGCTCTTCAGGATATATGACTTTATCCTTTCTATAACTTCTAAAGTTTATAAATGAGATCAAATAAACACGTATGTACTCTGTTATTTAAAAAGAGAAGATGTTCTGAATTTTAAACCATGATCACAATATACTTCTACATGCAATAATATATACGAACACTTGGCATAGTAGAAGATTTTTTTCTTTCGGGTCCTACAAGAGGACTTGCTGTCATCTCTGCTTTGGATCCAACTACAGTGCTGCCAAGTTTATGAGATACATCTTTGTCCCACTCCTCTTTTTGCTCACTTTCCGCACTGTTAGCCTGAGCCCTTTTGGTGTATGACACAGCAGCAGGAATTGATGGACCAACTGTAAAATAAAACATATCATCATCAGCTGAAAATTACTCATTTTTTCTGTTCATAAGTTAAATTTGATTCTCTTTGATCTTAGAAATGTGTACCTTTGCAAATTTTATGCTGAAATCTGAACCAAATATGACTGCTCTTTTGAAGAAAAAAAAACTTGGCAAAAAGAGGTAAGTTATCTACTATTTTTGACACAACAAATCAGTAAATCAACAGGATGAGGAACAAATAGGCACATAAAGGGGTGGATCCTCAATCTTTAGAAAGAATATCACAAACCCTGCCCCTTTGACTATGCTTTCTAGAATGCCTACTCCGTAATTAATACATTTGCTTTCTTCTCAAACCTTTCTTCTTTCCATCTTCTGTCTCTCAATGAGAGCTGGCTCCTTCATGCTGACACTGCATCCCTAATCACCCTTTCCAATATTGGTTGTATTTTCATTTACTTCCAACTCAGGCTGTGGTGGAGGAGCTAGAATATTCCTTGTTCTCCATTCCTACTTCCTAATTTGCCATCACTGAGTAACCTCTCCTTCTTTGAGGTTCCAATCAATATCAACTTATCATCCAATTAAGATTCTGATAGATACTATCAGCTAACTCCAAGGACATTTCCTTCCTTCGGTCCTCAGTGAGTTCAGTATTTGACTCATAGTCTTTCTCTCCACCCCAACTCTTCCGGTCCTCTAACTAGGACAAGATGATATACATGTTGTTACTCTGTCAAGCACCCTCATTTCTCAGTTCCTCTATTCACTCATTTCCAATGATCTACTCTACCTCTCCACCTCAGGTACACAGGGACATTTGATTTTGCTATTACCCACAAGCATTACACTTCCATGCTCATGAACTCTAAAATCCCAATATCTGACCATGTTTTGTTTTGTTTTGTTTTTTAATTATTACATCTTTTGCTCTGCCTTGTGACAACATACCCTATTTCTCATCCTCACCCCTCAGTTCATTCCCAAGCTACCCCTGTCCCCTCAACTTAACTCCCTTCTGTATACAGACCTCTTGGAGAATCAGTCCAACTCTATACTACCTTCTGCTCCTGAGTGCCTTGCCCCCTCATCTCATCACAACCACTCCTTGTCAAATCCAAACCTTGGATTACTACCCCATCCACCTCCTTTGTTTCTATTTAAATGCTGATGAACAGAACTAGAGAAAAATCACAGAACTCTGCTGAATTGATTCATAACAAACTTATGTTACGTAACTTCAACAGGACCCTTTCCACAACCCTCTCAGCTAAGGATTCTGCCTCAAATTTCACTGGAACAATTGATGTCATTTGATGAAAGCTTCCTCTTCTCTCCCACTAATCTCACATTACTCAGATGACTTCCTTTGCTACTGCCTTCATTTCTGTCCTACGTGAAGAGGGGGCCCTTCTGCTTGCCAAGGAGAACACTTCTACACTCACGAGTGAACCCGCTCTATGACATTTTCCTAAATAGAATGTTTCCTCTAGTATCCTCATTCTTTCACTAACGTTCGATCTTTCCCTGTCCCAGCTGCTTCCCTGCTACCTAAAAACACAAAACCCCTCATTCCATCCTACCATTCCTGCTAGCAACTACACTATCTCTCCTCCCTTTTGTAGTGAAACTCCTTAAGAAAACAGTCTGTACCAGATCCTTCCACTTCTTCTCCTCTCTCCAGCTTTTTAAACCCTCTGCAGTCCAGCTTCTGACCTAATTAATTATTCAACTGACATTGCTCTCTCACAGTTATCAATGACCTCTTAACTGTCAAATCTAATAGCCTTTTCTTAATCTTCATCCTTCTTGGCCTCTCTGCAGTCTTTGACACTGTTGATCACCCTCTTCTCCTGGATATTCTCTCATCTTTAACTTTTTATGACATCACTCTAGCCTGGTTCTTCTCCGAACCGACTGATCATTCTTTGGTCTCTTCAGATATTCATCCAGTTCACTTCCACTAACGGGGTACCCCCCAAAGCTCCTTCTCTTCTCCTTCAACACTATTTCACTTGGTGACCTCATCAGCTCCCAGAGATTCAATTATCATCTCTATGTTGATAATTCCCAGATCTACTTATCTAGCTGAAACATTCTACATTACTTAATCCTGTGTATACATACATAGACACAGATACTGATACATACTGATAGTAAGTTCAATATGAGAAATTTGGAGTTTATATCACTAGAACACAATTGCCTAGTAGAAATGTTCATATTATTCTCTTCATCAAACTGGACGTCTCATAGATATCTTAAGCACACACATACAAAACTGAACTTACTATCTTTCTTCCCAACTTCCCTGTTTCTGTGCAGGGTACCACCATCTTCCTAGATACCCAGGCTTGTAATCTGGATACCATCCTCAACTTCTCACTCACCATATCCCAGCAGTTGCCAAGTCTTGTCATTCCTACCTTCATAATATCCTAAGGAGACAACATCTTCCCTATATGCTCTCTTCTCTCTTTTGATGCTGCAACCATGCTGGTGCAGGCTCTCATCACCTCATGCCTGCATTACTGCAATAGCCTATGTGCTGGTCTCCCTGCTTCAAGTCTCTCCCTACTCTATTCCATCCCCCACTTAGCTAGCTGTAAAGCTGATCTTCCTAAAGCACCAGTCTGACCATGTCACATCTCTATTCAACCAACTCCAGGGGCTCACTTTTACATTCAGGATCAAATATAAAATCCCTTGTTTGGCTCTCTATAACCTGAGCCTTGCACCTCACCCCAAGTACTCTGCACTCCAGTGTTACTGGCCTCCTTGCTGATCCTAGAACAAGACATTCTATCTCTTGACTCTGGGTATTTTCATGGCTGTCCCCCATGCCTGGATCTCTGTCCCTCTTCTTCTCCATGCATCCTAGCTTCCTTGCCTTCTTTCAGATTTCAGCTAAGTAGAAACCTTTCCCAATCCGCCTTAATGCTAGTGCCTTCCCTCTTGGTTTTCTTGTTTACCTCCAACTTACTCTGTATATATCATTTGTAAATAGTTGTTTACATGCTGTTTCTCCTAGGCACTTACACTGTATATGTTCTGTACCTAATTATTTGCATGGTGTCTCCCTCATTAGAAAGAAATCCCTGCGGGGAAGGACTGTGTTTTGCTTTTCTTTGTATTCACAGTCCCTGGCATATAGCAAGCACTTAGTGAATGCTTCCTGAACGATTAGTGCTTGCTTGCTGACTTTGTATATTACATTACTTGTTTGAAAATGTTTCCCACCATGATCACTGAAACGCCTCTGTTTCTGATTTGCTGATATACTCCTCTGGACCTTCAGATGAGCAGGAGATTGCATAGAACTGTTGTTTAGGTCACTGCTGGGTCGAGATCGCTGACATAAGTTGCCACTGGACAAAGATTCACTTCCTTCAAACTAGAAGCATAAAAAAAAGGACATTAAGATTTTTAAAAAGATCTGAAAGAGGTGACATGTACACTTGTTTTATTAATCGGATATTTTAAAGCTTGGTAAAGGAAGACCCCAGACTCAAAAAAGAAGAACCCTAAATAAAACAGAGTCTGATCTCTGATGACAAAAACACTTATTATCTGAGAAGAGCTTGAAAAAGAAAACTTGTGGGGGGC